ATTGGCAACAAGTAGACTTCCCGCTTGTGGGGTTCCAAGTTGGCATGCCAGGTTGTCAAAAAATTCTGAGTTGGTGCTGACATGCGCATACTTGACAGAAGCCAACGGTGCACGTGCTACACGTGACGTTCCGGCGTTAAATTTTGCCTCATTTCCTCAACTCGAAAACGTTGATGGTAAAAATTTATGTATTGTAATATGGAGGGCAAAAACCTTATAAGTCGAAAAGTTCAGGGGCAAAATGGTACCTTTTGCCCCTCTATTTACCCACCAATCTACACGTCTTAGGAGTTAGGACCCAGCTCAGCCAAAAACCTACCTTTGGCCCTCACCTTATAAAGTTTGAAGATTTTACTCTTTTACTTTATATTAGGACACTTTTAACCCCTCATTTTATTAGATTTGTAAGTTTTAGTTTCTCACCTATTAAAATCAAAGAAAATAACACTCACTTTATACTGACTGTTAACTCTGTTAACTAAAAATAAATTTTTATCAACTAATAGTCAACTAATAACCAATCAACATAATTAACGAAATATTATAAAATTAATTCTATTAACTTTATTAGCTGAAAAAAGGGTTTTGACAGTTAATAATCAACTAACAGTCAGTTAATAGAATTAACAGTTAACTAACAGAACTAATAAAATATGATAAAGTGAGAACTATTTTCTTTAATTTTAATAGGTGAGGAGTTAAAAAGTGTCATAGTATAAGATGATGAGTTAAAACCTATAAATCTAGTAAGGTGAAGGGGTAAAAATATCATAATATAAGGTAAAAGATTAAAACTTTCAAATTTAACAAGGTGAAATGATAAAAATAGGCTTTTGCCCCCAACTCAACTCCATGAAGGTAAAAATTTCCTATATTTATTTATTTATTTATATTACCCCAATTTGCACACGATAGGGGAGCTCGATGGCGAATGTACTAGTGTTAAACTGTATGATAAGAAATGAGATTTTTATTTTTTAATTTAATTTATTTGTTTATTATATGATTTAAAATTAAAATTTTTTATTTTTATGAAAATGAAATTATCATTATATTATTAAATCATTAGCACATCCAATGAATCAGCTATGTGTGTTTTTTAAGTCAAAATGATAATATTATAATTATAATGTAATGTAAAATTATAAATTTATTATTATAATATGATATTAAATTAATAAATATATAATATTATAAATAATTTTTTGAATAAAAAAATTAATTATATGACTATATATCATTTTATAAACCTATAATATTACATAATATCATAATTATAATTCAAAATAAAAACTATCTACTCCATATTAATTCGGAAAAAGAGCTCTGTTTATTCCCAAATAAATATATTTTTATTTTCTTCTAAATTAAAATTTTGAAATAATTTGTGTTTATTTATATATGATTAATAAATTAACACACACAAGTGATTCACTAAAAGTATTTAAATAATTTCACAAGTATTTTTGTAATTTTTTCTTGTATGTCAACTTAAAAAACACCTTTCTATTACTCTTTTCATTCATTTTTAATAAGTTTAGTCTTTTTTAAAATAAAATAGAGATAAAAATTAATCAATAAAATTTCATATTTGTTTCTAATTAATTATTACTTAAACAAATCCTCATTTAATATATGTTGTAAATATTTTTTAAAAATAATAAAAATATAAATAAATATATTAAATAATATTTTTAAAAAATAAACAATTAAATTTAAATATCTCAAAGTAAAAAATTAGTTCTACTATAAATTGAACAAATGGAGCGTAATTTTATAAAGTTTTGAGTACAATTTTTCCTATAATATTATAAATTTCTTTATAATAATAATTGTTGAATAACATATAACTTTTAATATTGTTGACTTATCTTCTATCCAACTATTTTTCTTATATAATTTGGCATAATGTAAACTATAAAATATGAGAATTTTAAGAAAAATATGAAAAGTAAATTCAAAGAGAGGGTGCATCAGAAGCGGAATAACTCTGAATTTTTAATGCAGACAAAAAAAATAAAAATATTTTCAAGATTGAGTTTGAATCCAAATGTGGCAAAAAAACAAAAATTTGTAACTACAGAGGTTGGAAGTGCGAGGCGGAGTGGTTTTCTACTTTTCTCCCAGAACTTTTCTATTGGCGCACGTGCATTAGACTAAGAGTGCGTTTGGTTGAGAAAACTTTTTTTCTAAAATTTTAAAATTTTTTTATAAAGTTATTTAGCTATTAATTTTATGATAAAAAATAATAAAAATAATATTTTTAATTTTATTTTTTTATATAATTCATAACTCATAAATTTTTTTTTTACGTTTTTTAAGAGAAAAATTTTTCCTTTAACTTTTCTTATATAGAATTTATCTAATAACTTTTTTATTAAGTTTTTTATATTAATTTTTTATCAAATAAAAAAATTAATAACACAACAAATTTTCACTATAAAATTTATTAATTTTTTATATAATCCTTATTAATTTTTTATCTGATATTTTTTTAGCAATCTTTTTAATAAAGATTTTTATTATAAAATTGATATTCCAACTAAATAGGCGCCAAGGGTTTTGCGCCTGCGGTTTTGGTTTTGGGCCTCTTTTGGTAGTATGTATTGATGGAGAGTTCTTTAAATTAGTCATAGAAAACACGCGGAAGCTGCGTCCTTGTCTTCTCTGCTTAGCCGGCCCCGGCTGACCCTGTCTTTTTGTTGGAAGAAAGTGGGCAACTTGAACAGTTTCCACTCGCAACCATGCCCCTCCACTACGCACAATACTCTCTGCCCGTCTGCATTCCAATGTTCTTGGGTTGCTCTCAATCTTCTAAATTGAGGCCCATCATCTCTATTGGACTTTCAGAGTTGCTGAATCTCACGGTCATAAGCCAGTCCATTTTCACCGACCCAAGTTCATCTTGTATTTTTGACACTAGGGATGCTATTGAGGAGTGTAGTTTGAAAATAACTTAATGAATTATTCGAATTAAAACCGACTTGAATTCGATAAAAATAAATAAATTTAAATTTAAATTTACATGTTTATTTATAAGTATTTATTAAAATTAATATAATATTACAGTCTAAGTATATAATAATACACCATGAAAATATATAAGAAAGTGGAGATTCAATCTCCATTACTTAAATGAAGAAGTGAGGAGTTAATTAGTATTATTTAATGTGTGATTACATGAAAAAGTAGTAGGGAGATAATTGATGTGTAATGACACGGGAAAGTGCGGAGGTGAAAGATAAAGAAGGTGAAATGTAGTGAATTTAGTTCATAATAATATAAACATAAAATTATATTCTGAGATGCAGAATTTTCAGGTCGAACTGGTCAACCTGAATAAAAAAAAAAATGTAAGAATGCACATGGAAAGACTAGGGGTTTTGTCGTTTTGGTTTGGCCCTCTTTTGGTAGTATGCATTGATGGAGAGTTGTTTACATTAGTCATAGAAAACACGCGGACGCTGCATCTTTGTCTTCTCTGCTTAGCCGGCTGGCCCTGTCTTTTTGTTGGAAGAAAGTGGACAACTTTGAACAGTTTCTACTTGCAACCATGCCCGTCCATTGCGCACAATCCTCTCTGCCTGTCTGCCGTCCACTGCTCCTGGCTGCTCTCAATCTTCTAAATTGAGGCCCATCATCTTCATTGGACTTTCAGAGTTGTTGAATCTGATAGGCTAGTCCATTTTCACCGGCATATCCAAAAGCATCTCTAGTTTAGATCCGTTTGATTTAGTTAAGATTTAACCAATTTTTACCATCTAACAAATTTCACTTCATTTATTGACTAGCCCTATTAAACTAGGACATATTTATCATCATACTTAGGTTTAATGGTTAGAAATTAGTAGAGTTCAACCCAAGAAAATTAACAAAACTGTTATATATTTAGTAATGTTATTATTTCAATATTACATAAAGTTATAAATTTACAATTATGACGTATCATTAAATAAGTGAATGTATATAATATTACAAGTGAACTCTTGAGTTCAAAAAACTAAGTATATAATAACATATTATATTATAAGTTTACAATATCACTTAATATTCTAATTATATCTTTTTCATTGTATACTTAATTGGAGATTAGGAATGTTAAGTTAAATGATAGAAATATATAAATATAAATAATATATAAAATTATTAGTCATAATAGATGACCAAACCAATTAAGTTGGTTTTAAACTTTTATTATCCAATCTAATTCAATTCAATGACGGTTTTGATCATATTGTTATTAGATGAGATTGGTTTGGTTTGGTTTAATTGAATAGATTCATTGTTAAACACGCCGAAGAATAATCATAGAACAACAGTTAAAACCTCTTAGCTAGAAAAGAAGAAAAATGTTTAGGGATTGCATATGTGCCCTTCGGATTACAGGTGCTTCTTCCTCGTTTCCCTTCAACCGGCAGGCTGGGCCACTGGGGCCTAAGCTGAGAACGGATTTTCGTTGTTCACTTCCAATTCCAATTGCTTTGCAATGTTTGGGCACCGGACCATGCCCACCCCTAAAAACATTATTGGGCCTGGAGTTTCTTGTACTTTTAACATATCTTGGACCCTTTGATTAAAAATTCAGCTTGCTTTTCAAAATAAAGTATAACAT